TTAAAATCTCCTTTAGTGTTCTGTTAGCTCTTTCTACCTGTCCTGAACTTTGAGGTCTGTAAGCACAATGTAAATTCCATCTAATTCCAATGCTTAGGCTAATCAGTTTAGACACTTTAGCCGTGAAGGCTGGGCCATTGTCGGACCCCAGGGCTAAGGGCAAGCCAAATCGGGGAACTATCTCAGTCAGGAGCTTTTTTACTGTTACCTCAGCTGTTTCCTTTTTAGTAGGGTATGCTTCCATCCACCCTGAGAATGTGTCTATGAAAACTAACAGATATTTGTAACCATACATGCCTAGTTTCATTTCGGTGAAGTCCAGTTCCCAGTGTTCTCCGGGAGTCAGTCCCCTATATCGGACCCCTGGGGGCCCAGTTACCCGATTCACGTTTACCTTGAGGCAGGTGGGGCACCGTCTCACTTTGTCCCGGGCCTTCTGGGCTAATTCTCTGCTGACAAAGTGGGGCTGTAACAGGGCCATCATCCTCTTTTCTCCTAGGTGGGTGGATTCATGGAGCTCATTCAGCAAAGTGTCAGCCACCGCAGCTGGCAGAATGATCTTCCCTTCATCTGTCGTCCACCATCCATGCTTTCCTTTGGTCCAGTGGTTCTTACAAATCTCCATTATTTCTTCCTCTGTGTATTCAGGCCTCTCTGGGAGCACGGGTGTAGGTAGCAGCACCATTTGTTTCCCCACTGATTTTTGGGCAGCTTGCTTTGCTGCCTGGTCAGCTGCGTTGTTTCCAGTCGCTTCAGGAATTCCTTTGATGTCCAGGGCAGTGAATGATGGCAACCTCCCTTGGCAGCCAAATGGCTTGCAGCAGAGCCAATATCTCAACTTTGTTTTTAAGTTCTTTCCCGTCTGATGTTAAAAGTCCTCTATTCTGGTAAATTTCTCCATGTACATGGGCAGTAGCAAAAGCATAACGGCTATCAGTGAAAATATTTATCTTTTTCCCTTTTCCTAATTCCAGAGCCTTAGTTAAAGCAATCAGTTTGGCCTTCTGTGCTGATGTCCCTTGGGGCAGCCCTTGTTCCCATACTACCTGTTGATCCTGATTGACTATTGCTGCTCCCGCATATCGTACACCTTCACGTATGAAACTGCATCCATCAGTGGAGTATGTTGCCTCAAGTCGGGGAAGGGCCAGGTCCGTCAGATCTGGACGTCCTCCCCGCAGATTTTCAAGAGTCTCAAGGCAGTCATGGATGGGCAGTTGGTCATCTGACTCAGGGAGCAGACTAGCAGGATTCAGGTTAGATGTTGTGGCAAATTTAATGCGCGGCTGTTCTAACAAGAGTCCCTGGTACTGCAACAATCTAGCATTTGCTAGCCATCTACTTGGTGAGTTGTGCAGCACGGGCTCAATGGCATGAGGAGTGATCAGAGTTAGATCCTGGCCAAAAGTCAATTTATCAGCTTCCCGAGTTAAAGCAGCAGCCGCAGCTACCATCCTTAAACAAGACGGCCATCCTCTGGCCACTGGATCAAGTCTTTTGGATAGATAGGCTATAGGTCGCTTCCAAGGCCCCAAAGACTGTGTGATCACTCCTTTTGCCACTCCATTCCTCTCTGCCACATATAAGGTGAATGGTTTATTTAAATCAGGCAGGGCTCTAAGGCTGGCGCTGTGGTGAGCGCAGTCTTGAGCATCTGGAATGCTTGCTGGCAAGCCTCTGTCCAAGGGGTGCGTCCCCCCCACCTGCTGTAGCCTCATGCAGGGGTTTGGCAATTTCAGCAAAGCTAGGTATCCAGATTCTGCAGTATCCTATGGCCCCCAGGAACTCACACACCTGTTTCTTTGAGCTGGGCGTGGGGATCTGAAGGATCGCTGATACCCTGGATTCAGCTAACTTTCTTTTTCCTTTTTCAAGAACGTAACCCAAGTAAATTACCTTGGTTTTGCAGAGCTGGGCTTTCTTCCAGGACACTCGATATCCCAGACCTTGTAGGGCCTCCAGGAGTCCCTCGGTGGCTGTGAGACATTTTTTCTCGGTTGTGGTCGCCACTAAGAGGTCGTCTACATACTGGAGAACAGTTGCATAGGGAAAAGCTTTCCTTACCTCTTGTAGATCTCTGCTGAGAGCCTCCCCGAACAGTGTGGGGGAGTTCTTAAAGCCTTGTGGCAATCGAGTCCATGTCAATTGTCCAGTAGTTCCAGTGTCTGGGTCTGTCCATTCAAATGCAAAGAGCGGCTGGCTTACTGGTGCCAGGGGCCGGCTGAAAAATGCATCTTTGAGATCAAGAACTGAATACCATACATGTGCAGGCGGAATGAGGCTCAGCAGTGTGTAGGGGTTCGGTACCGTTGGGTGGATGGTCTCCACCCGGCTGTTTACCTCCCGCAAGTCCTGTTCTGGAGAATTTTCTTCTCCGATTAGTTTAAATTCTTCTTATTTCCCCATTTCATTTTTCTCCCCTTCTGTATAAAACCCTCTTCTGCCATCATCATTATATTTGCCTTTGCCATCTTTTTAGTTATTCTATCTTCGGGTGGATCCCTGTTTGTGAACACCTTCATTGCTACACTTATCAATTTTTCCTTATTCTCTCATTCAAAGCCCTCAATTCTCTGTAATTTTTTCCAAATATCTGGGGCCGACTGAGTTACAAAAGCCAGATTAATTGCCTGCCTGTTCGCTGGAGCATCTGGGTCAATTGGAGTGTAAGTGCGGTATGCCTACAGTAAATGCTCCAGGAAGGCAGAGGGGGATTCCTCAGGCCCTTGTAGGACCTTGCTTACCTTGCTCAAATTGGTAGGCTTGCGAGCGGCGCCCCTAAGGCCGGCCAGGAGATGCTGACGGTAGTTGCGAAGAGCTTCCCTACCTCCGGTGGAATTCTATTCCCATTTGGGACGGGAGATGGGGAGTTGTGCTTCAACTCGGGCCTGTTGTTGTTGGTCGTCAACAAGCCCCTCAGCTCCCCCCAGCACTGACCAAATAGCGTGTCTTCTAATTCTTTCTCGTTCCTCGGATGTGAGCAGAGCCTGTAAAAGTTGCTGACAATCATCCCAGGTGGGGTCATGGGTATTAGACACAGACTCGAGGAGGGAGATTAGGGCTTGCGGCTTCTCAGAGAACGGGGGATTCTGGTGCTTCCAGTTATATAAATCACTTGTAGAGAAAGGAATGTATACATAATGATCTTGTTCTATTTCTCTCAATGGGAGCACAGGGACTGGGTCCGGTCTCTCCTGGGGCACCTCCGGAGGCCCATAAGCAGAGCCCCCTCGGGTACGGGAAGGAGAGGTGGTGGAATCCAGGATCTCCCCTTATTTCGGGGGAGATGGGTAGATGGACTTAACTTTTGCCTCCCCAGGGGATGGTCCTGCATATGGAGGGGGTCTTAACCCGGGGTCAATAGGCTTTAAGGGGTCCGGCTCCTGGGAGAACACCGGCCTGGGTGCCTGCTGCTTTGCGGACTTTATCCCACTTGGTACCATTACCAGAATACGAGAACTGGTGCGCAGGGAGCAGTGCTGCAGCCATGCCGGAGGTTCTTCACAGGCCTGGGCCCAGATAGTAATATAAGGGAATTGGTCGGGGTGGCCAGGGTGTTCAATGATCTTTGCCCATACTGCCCGACAAAGTCTTGGTTCGAAAGAACCTTCAGCTGGCCAGCCCACTCCGAAGGTGGGCCACTCCAAGTTGCAGAGGGTTCGGAGTTTCCCTCGAGAAAACTTCATTCCATATTCATCTTCCTGCTCAGGGGAAAAAGCCAATTTAAAGTTAGTGAGAAAACAGTCCAATGGGGTATTTTTGGAGCTCGATCCTCCCATCTTGTTCCTAGGAATGAATGTAAAGTTAACACTCAACAGACAGGACACAGACAAGACACACAGGCGCCACACAAAAGAAAAAGAACTTAGATTCTACCCGGAATCCTCGTCAGGGCCGGGGTCAGGTGAGGCTTCCTGGCTCGTCAGCCACCTCTATCCTGACATCACATGGTTGCAACCGATTCAAAACTTACCTCCGGAGGCTTTTCAGGTCTATGTCTGAGAATCTCCTGCTGGATCCTGTGACAGAGAATCTCGGCCGGATTTATAGTTCCCACTTGGGGATCTCACTGGGGCCTCCAAGATGTAAGACTTAAGTCTCACTTTTACTCCTGGAGCGTGAACAGCCAAGAGGCTTCCACGATGCTGGGCTCAGAAGCTCAGCGAGGCTCCAGGAGCTTGTCGGACAGCGAGAGTCACCCAGGAAGGAACACACCAGGCATGTTGGCAAATAGACCTTTATTAGTCTGGCCAGACGGCACTCCCCAAGCCAAGTAGCTCAGAGAGGCGGCTAGCTCAGAAACAAAGGCCATTTTATATAGGGCTAAGGGGGGGTTTACACTTAAAACTTACAGGAAGAGGACAAAGGTAAAGAATCAGTTGATCTGAGCTAGTGGTCATCAAGCATATACTTGACCGTCACGTATTAATGATCGAAGCAGATCGATTATCCATTATTCCATTTACAATTTAGATTATAATGTTCAGATCATTCAACTACAGGCAAGTAAGGAGTGGCGTGATTTGTGTTGGGTCTCTGTGTTCACTACAGTTTCCATTTAGTTTCCCAGCTACTTCAAAGCAGTTACCTAACAATTCACAATTAATCAGTTATCCTATAAGGGATGGGGGGGAGCGAGAGTCTCTAGGTCGTTTGCTGGTCAACATGGAGTCGCTCTGGTTCAGTCAGGCTCTTACACAAGAGCAACACTCGCCCAGGGAGACTCGCCCAGTCTTCCCTGTCGGGGGATCGCCAAGTCAGAAACGAAGCTCCTGGGTACTAAGTGCAGATCTCCTCCCCAAAGGAAGCCGGCCGTCTGCCCAACTGGCGGGAAAGGTCGCCGGTGGTCAGAGCCAGAGGACGCACGCTATGCCCCGCCCCCGGCGAGAGCCCCGGATGAGGAAGTCGCGCGGCCACCGAGAC